AATATACAGCACCCATTTAATTTTTCTCTCAGTTGCTCCTGAGGAAGCCCAAGAGGCGAAACGTTGAGCTATTAAACAAATTTTAAACAAGACTCTCCCTCCTACACTGCTTTCCAAACAATGATGATGATGATGATGATGATGATGATGAGAATTTTACGGCACTTGAATCATCAATTTAAATAGGTCATGCGCGAAGAAAATTAGAAGTATTACAAGAGAGTAACATATGATCGAAAGAATGGAAGAGATAAGGTCGGTAGATGTTTGATAGGAATTGGGAAGAAGGAGCAAATCACACCTGCACAGACCTCACTGTAGTACACATGAATATCTTGATACTGCTCAGTGCAGATATAATCTTATTTTTGCACACATTATGTAGGCCTATGAATTAATGTATACACTTTTGCTCACCAGCAAAATATACAGTGATCTTTAAAAAAAACTACAACATACAAACAAAGGTCACTTTCTCCTTCACTTTCGTGTATAGATGTTGGAGATTCTAATTTTGTTTCGATCTGGGTATAGACTTCAACATTAGTTTGATGATATTGTTTTTGCCTTTTCTATTTTTCTATTTCTATTTACTGTAGATTATGAGACCAAGTCTCCGTACTTTGGAGCAATTTGTGGCCGGGTGGCCAATGTGGTAGCTGGTGCTCAGTTTGACCTGGAAGGACAAACCTACAAGTTGTACGAGAACCGACCGCCTCTTTCTGTACATGGTGGCAAGGCTGGATTCGACAAGGTTTCGTTTTGGTTTTCGTATGAGTATTACACCTTTTGTTTTGGTTTTCGTAAGAGTATTACACCTTTTGTTTTGGTTTTCGTAAGAGTATTACACCTTTTGTTTTGGTTTTCGTAAGAGTATTACACCTTTTGTTTTGGTTTTCGTAAGAGTATTACACCACTTGAAACACAATTAGGTCACGGATCGTAGTGCAGAAGTTTTATGGTTTAGAGGTTTTACTAGAGGATAGCATCCAGACCAGACAAAAAAGGAGAGATAAGGATGATAGATTAGGGATAGGGAAGAAGGAGCAAAACACACTCGAACCCCTGCAAATCATTCAAGGTTTCCTTTATTATGATTCTGTTTTATTGATGAGGGAGAAAAGAAAGCAAACGGAGAGGCAAAAGAGGAAAGGGGAGACCTAAAAGAAGATGGGAACAGGGCCTTGAAACCTGGCTTGAAACCAAATCAACTCAGGCAGAGAGAATGGCAAGACAAAGAGTGGTGTAGGGTAGGAATGTCCACGAAGCAATGTCCAACCACTGGAAAGACTAAGAAGAAGAAGAAGAAGAAGAAGAAGAAGAAGAAGAAGAAGAAGAAGAAGAAGAAGAAGAAGAAGAAGAAGAAAAAGTAGAAAAGGAAATAATAAAATAATAAATAAACCCACACTTCCTTAATCCCCTTTGGGAGATCTGAAAGTGTCAGTAACAGGGGACATTTTTCATAATACAAGATTTTTTTGAGCATTCTAGAGGAGAATTGAACCATGATCGGAGACGTGTTTTTTAAAATGTAGTATTTTCTGATGATGATGATGATGATGATGATGATGATGATGACGACGATGGTGATTTATGGATTTTATTAAGGAGAGGAACCATGAACGTAGCTGTTTTTCTTCAAATCTAGCTCTTTACGATAATGATTATTTTCATTATATGATTTTTAGAGCATCATGATGATGATGATGATGATGATGATGATGATGATGATGATGATGAGGCTGAAGATGACGATAACGATGATGATGAGGCTGAAGATGACGTTAACCAAAATGATAATGATGATAAATGATGATGATGCATCTGGCAGAAAACCTGGCAGGCTGAGGTAGTGGGGGACAACAAGCTGTCGCTGACGTACGTCAGTCCACACCTGGAGGAGAACTACCCCGGAGAGCTGACGTCATCGGTCACATACAGCCTGGACGACCCCACAGCGCCCTCACGCTGCAGTACGCTGCCACCACCACTAGGACCACCGTCCTCAACCTCACCAACCACGCCTACTTCAATCTGGCCGGCCATGTAAGTGCTTGTCATGGTAATAATAATAATAAAATTAATAATATGAATAATAATATGAATAAGAATGATAACAATAATAATAATAATAATCATGATAATGATAATGATAATATCAGTAATAATAATCATCATCATCATTATCATCACAATAATAGTGATGATCATGATAATCATGATAGTAATAATAATAATAGTAGTAGTAGTAGTAGTAGTAGTAGTAGTAGTAGTAGTAGTAGTAGTAGTAGTAGGAGGAGGAGGAGGAGGAGGAGGAGGAGGAGGAGTAAGAGTAGTAATAGTAGCAGTAGTATTCATTATAATAATGATAACTATAACGTCATCCATAATAATGATGATGATAATAATAATTTTTAAAAAAATAATAATAATATAATAATAATAATTATAATAATAATAATAATAATATTTAAAATAATAATAATAATCATCATCATCATCATAAAAAATAATAATTACATAATGATAAATGATAAATGATAAATTATAATATAATAACATGGTAATAATCATGATATATTGTGATATGTTTGTGAATTTTTTAAAAAATTTGTTTTTTGGCTCAACACCCTTCATTCCCATCAAAAAACTCGTTTCTGTTTGGATTTTTCTGAAAAACGTTGATTAAAGGAACAAAAAATTTTTTTTTTCAGCTACCACGGACTCTTAAGCTAAGGAAAAAACAAAACTTTGGCGGCCTTTTTCTTACTAATTTTACCTCTGAAAAAAAGTGACCCCCACCTCCTTCTTTCACAAATATCTCGACTTGTCTTCTAGATAAATGGATATTATTTTCTTCCAAACAAAGACAAGTGAACAAGCTTTAAGATGATACAAATAACTCTACATGCCCAAAAATTGACGAGAGCCTATGATAGGTGGCTGTTCTGCTGTTTTACTCCTTCTTTCCTCTCAAACATCAATCTTTCTTATTTCTCCTCCTTCTTTCCTCTCAAACATCTATTTTTTACACCCTCCTTCCTATCAAGCATCTGTCCCCCTTATTTCTCCTCCTTTTTTCCTCTCACATATTGGTCTTCCTTATTTCTCCTCCTTCTTTCCTATCAAACACCTTTCTTCCTAATTTCTCTTCCTTCTTTCCTCTCAAACATCTATGTTCCTTTAAATTTCTCTTCCTTCTTTCCTATCAAACATCTATGTTCCTTTAAATGTCTCTTCCTTCTTTCCTCTCAAACATCTATGTTCCTTTAAATTTATCTTCCTTCTTTCCTATCAAACACCTTTCTTCCTTCTTTCTCCTCCTTCTTTCCTCTCAAACATCTATCTTTCTTCTTCCTCCTCCTTCTTTTCTTTGTATCTTACTCTATTGAAATAACTGTTAACCTTTGGCACTTATATGACTTAATTGTATTGCAAGTCCTGTGCAACCTTTACTGAAACTGTTGAATTAAAATAAAGAATTATTAACTTTTAAAGTTTAGTAAGTTATCTTAACCTTGAGTTAAATTCTTCAAACTCCTAAATTTTATGGAGAATTAGTCTCCTTTGCGGATGTAGTCTATTGGTCATCGAGAGACTTTGACAGACGAGATATAGTAATCAAGTTATAGTATGTTTAAAGTTTGTCATCTATTGGTTATCGAGAGACTTTGACAGACGAGATATAGCAATCAAGTTATAGTATGTTTAAAGTTTGTCATCTATTGGTTATCGAGAGACTTTGACAGACGAGATATAGTAATCATGTTATAGTATGTTTAAAGTTTGTCATCTATTGGTTATCGAGAGACTTTGACAGACGAGATATAGTAATCATGTTATAGTATGTTTAAAGTTTGTCATCTATTGGTTATCGAGAGACTTTGACAGACGAGATATAGTAATCATGTTATAGTGTGTTTAAGGTTTGTCATCTATTGGTTATCGAGAGACTTTGACAGACGAGATATAGTAATCATGTTATAGTATGTTTAAAGTTTGTCATCTATTGGTTATCGAGAGACTTTGACAGACGAGATATAGTAATCATGTTATAGTGTGTTTAAAGTTTGTCATTCATCATTCAGTTTTTTGTCTTGTCTTTGTTTTTAGGGACATGGCCATCTCAATGACCACAGGCTGAAGGTTTTTTCTGATAAGTACTTGGTCCTTGATGACATCTACGTCCCTACAGGTATCCCATGCTGTTGCTGTCTGCTGTATTGTGTATCTGTATACCTTTCACAGTACTATTATGAATGTCTGGTTGAGAAATGTCCTACTGTATGTAGGCCTATGCGGTTGGACTTCTTTTCATAAACGCAATCAATTATTATTGTTATTATATGTTTTATTACTTTTATTATTATTAGTATTATTATTATTATTATTATTATTATTATTATTATTATTATTATTATTGTTATTATTATTATTATTATTATTATTATTGTTATTATTATTATATTATTATTATTATTTATAAAATCATCATCATTATCATCATCATTACTATTATTGTTATTATTATTTAATTATTATTATCATTATTATTTTGAAACATTTTGGTTGAGTAAACTAGGCTCTAGTAGGTCTGTCTCTCTCTAACTTTCTCTCTTATTCTCTCTGTCTGTCTCTGTCTGTCTCTGTCTCTCTCTCTTTCTCTCTCTCTCTTTGTCTGTCTGTCTCTGTGTATGTCTCTCTCTCTCTCTCTCTCTCTCTCTCTCTCTCTCTCTCTCTCTCTCTCTCTCTCTCTGTCTCTCTCTCCATCTCTCTCTCTCTCTGTCTCTCTCTGTCTGTCTGTCTCTCTCTCTCTCTCTCTCTCTCTCTCTCTCCCTCTCTCCCTCTCTCTCTCTCCATCTCTCTCTCTCTCTCTCTCTCTCTCTCTCTCTCTGTCTCTCTCAGAAAAGCATTTATGGGTAATTTGTTCTCGCATATTATGAAGCAAGATCTCTATTGGTGTATTTTGATGTAATGTAGTTACAAATTGTTCACCTTTGTCTGACATTGGTCAAAACATGATAAAAATGAAATCACTCTTTTCAATCTTTTTAAATATTTGTCTGCGGGTCTAAAAGTTTGATGGTCAACAGAATCTAAAAATCCCGTTTGTAATAGATTGACTTTGATTGTCAATTTCAAGCACACAGCTCATTGAAGACATGGAGGCAGCCCTCAAGGGTACACCAGAACTGAACTTTATTTAGAAAGAGTTACACAACAGACCAGTGGCCAAAGAGGACACAATCATGATGTTCAAAAGGTTACTACTTAGATGATTTATGTCCCCCTCTTCATCGTAATTATTACAGGTTGATCGTTACTTTATTACACTGTTACACCATTCATAAAAGTCACAGCAAACTAAACGTCTGACAATAAATCTTTGATGCTAGCTTAAAGCGAGTGAAAAATAACAACAAAATAACAGAGGATTTACAGCTTACACCTAAAACATGAGAGAGTTGACATGTATTCCACAACACTTTAATATCCACTTAAGAAAATGGTCCAACAAACGGATGAGCAGTTTTCGACTCCTCTCGACAAGCTTACACTGAGATGTAGGGGCAGGGTGGTGTCGCTGTCTCAAAATAAGCATATAGCAGGCAAGTTTACTGTAAGTCATTTATTTTAGTGATCCTGTGTATTGCATTCAAAAAGCGTTTGTTTGTTTTTTTTTAAATATAAAGCCCAAATAAAAATCAACACTGTTTTATTACGTGGATCAGAACAACAAATATTAATTTTTGTTTGGTTGCTGGCCTGAAGAAGTGCAATGCAAAGTTTTGTGGGCATAGGTATATTGACAAGAGCCAGAATTATTTTTTTTTACGTGAACAGACAAAAGGGAACAAGCTGTACCACACTTTTAGCCGAGGTTTGACATATGTGAGGCAGTGTGGCAGAATCAGGCTCTCGTCAAAATAATCAATGTGAAGAAATTGGCATTTTTCTGCTGGTTTGTAAATTTTTATCAATTTTTGGCTTTTTGGCTGAAGACCTTCCATGCCCATTAAAGAACACATTTCTGTGTGAATTTTACTGAAAAACGTTGATTAAAGGTGCAAAAAAATGTAAGTTTTTCACTTACCACGGACTCTTAAGCTAAGGAAATGACTAATCTTCGGTGGCCATTTTCTCACTAATTTTACTTCGGAAAATAAGTGACCCCCACCTCCTTCTTTCGCAAATATCTCGACTTGTATTCAAGATAAATGGATATTTTAAAATTCAAAATAAAGACA